AATCTCCTGACCATGCTTTTATCCATTCTCTTCATTCCAAATTCTTATATACTTTGACCTTTAGAAGATAATTTACCTTGAATTTAGTCTAGTATGGTCAAATCCCTAAAGTTCAGTTCCCCCTTGCAGGCGAGAGAAAAAGACAATCTTGTTTGCCAAAAAAGAAAGAAAATTGAAACTGCCAAATTGAATCTGATTTGGATTTTCACAAAGAGGAAATATTGCTAATTGGTCCTTAAGCTTTAATTATAAGGTTCTAGTCCCTGAGTTCCTCACCTCATTATCATTTTAATCCCAAATTTAATCCTATCACATATATAACCTCAAAGAACTTAAATAATTTATTTAAATCTTAAGTAAGAAATTAATCCTTAGGTATTACAACATATTAATTATTAAATATACACAAAAAAACTAAATACATTTATGCAGTGTTAACCTTTTATCTTCTACTTTAACTCACAATTAATAATTGTTTATTATATAATTTTAATGGTATAGTAGTTTTATATTTTAAAATGCATTAAATGTATTATAAATAATAATTAAAATAACTTAAAGCTAAAAGTCTAAAACTAATGCAAAGAGACTAAAACATTCTTAATATGAGTGACATTAATACATGTTATAAAAATAAAGAAAATAAAATAACATATAAAAATTTAATTAAAATTATTAGTTTTACAAGTCAAAAAAATACATTTAGTTAATAAAAATAAACATATAACATAATAGATTTATTAAAAAATATATTAAATGTAATTATTAATGAATTTGGTATATATTCTTTCTATGCCAAAATAACTATTGTTTTTTAATTTTTTAATTAAGTATTTAAGGACAATTTTTATATTTTTCTACAATATCTTTAAAAAAGAAGTACAAGATAAAGAAAGAGTTTTTGTGATTGGATGATTAATTAAATTTAATGGACAATGATGATGGCACAGAAAAAAAAAATTATTTGTCCTAACAAATAAAAAATGATAACTAATTTAAAATAAATTTAAAATAAAATTTTTTATTTCTATTAATAATTTTTTAATACTTAAATCAGTTTAGAATTTTTTAATTAAAATATCATTATAAAATATAAAGATATAAAATTATATATTTTTTATGAATTAATATAAAAAAAACTAAAATAACCCTCCTACAACACATAGGTTAAAAAAATCTAGTTAGATAATATGATGCATAAACTCCACAGTAAATGTAAATTATTATACTACTCTATCATGTTTAAGAATTAATATTTTTTATTTAGAAATTATCAAAAAAGATACCATAAAGATTAATAGTGTATAATGTAATTTTGGGCTAAAGTATGCATTTAATTCTTCATCTTCATAAATTTAAAGTTTTTAGTCTCTTTCTATACATTATGAAACTTTTAGCCCATAAACTTAAAAAGTTGAAGATTTTACCCTCTAAATTAACAGAATCCATTAATTTTTTGTTAAAGTGAAAATAAAATATTACAAGTTCAGTCTTCAAATATTAAAAATGTAATTTCAAACCAAAACCCTCAAAAGTAGAATGGGATTAAGGAAAACCAAGGCCTATAGACAATGGTAAAAAATGATAACAAAAAAAAAAACCAAAATACCCTTGATAAATCAATACGCAAGAGTTTCCAAGAGGGTATTGAATAATTTCATAATGAGTCCTGCCATTTTCAATACCTAGACATCTATTTTCACTTTTCTTAGACAAAAAGAACCTTCTTGCTGGAATTACTCTGAATCAAACAAAATGGAAGAAGACCATCATTCCATTCTTCAAATTTCTAAGAACTAAAATGGAGCTAATGAATGAAAAGCTCAAAATTTTGAGTTCCCAACAAATTCGCACTTTCGGTTGGACAATAATAAGACACAAGACATAAAAGACAACTATAGTTTGAGATAACAAGACCATAACCAAAGAAAAATATAGACATGAAATGAAATTCAAGTAACAAGATTAATCAAACAGGAACCCA